CATGGTGGATTATTCGAGGGGTTCCAATCAAATCACAAGTTCTTAAACAAGGAGGAGCTTTCCCAACTCTGGTCAGAGAAAGAGAATGATAGAAAAAGGAGCAGAATTGCTGGTTATGAAGATGAAGGAATGGCACCATGAACCATAGAACAAAATGTCCTACACAGTGGAAAAGGCAAGGAAGCGGATCCTCCCCAGGATGGGCCTGAAAGCAATGCAGCCTGCTGACATGTAGCACCTGTGACACCAGTGTCAGTCTTCTGGCCTACAGGAATGTAAGATTATAAATGTATGTTGTGGAGGCCACTAAATTGAGCTACTTATGACCAGGTAATCAGGGATGTATTCTCTGAGGAGGAAACCTTGAGCTGAGAGCTCAATGATAGCGGGAAACCAACTCATGAACTTCAAAGGAAGTGTAGTCCAGACTACACTTAGGGAAGCCTAAGTGTCTGAGGTTGGAGCAAACTTGGTATGCTTTAAAATGAGATGGAGGCCACAATGGCTGGCATGTGTTCGTGAGAGGGAGAGCAGTCCAGGATGAGATTGGAGCTCCAGGCAGGCCCTGGCTGTCAAGAGCCTTTTGCTGCTTTAACTTCCATTGTGGTTTTGCCATCATGGGATTGTGCACACATGGAGCCTCCCCAGTTCACTGTGAGTCCCTTGAGAGCCTGAAGAGCAGGGACCAGTCTCATTCATTTCTGGACCCCCCCCCCCACCCAGCATAAAGTTGTTGTAGGGCCTCAAACATACAAGCACAAATGTACAGCTGTGGGATAGATGCTGGAGATTCTTTAGAAAAGCAGAACAATAATAAGATTAATCTGTTTGGCATTACCAACTACTGAGAGTTCTCTGAATTTTAATTTCTTGCTTGTCATCATTGGGTAACCATTTTAGGGCATATTAAGGAAAAGTGATTTGTGGTAGTATGGTAGATCAAAAAGCAGCAATTCAGATGATAAAACAAAATTGTTGTCTGAGGTCCCTGGTGGGATTTTCTTTAACACTGCTATCATAATCAGGTTTATTTCTAGCTTTAAAAAATAGCAATAGCCCTTGGGTGTTTATTAAATAAAAAATTTTCCTAACAGAACTATTTTGAAAACCAAAGTGGAGATAATGCGCATTCTATTATTACAAGCAAGTATTTGTAGAGGGCCTATTATGTGCCAGAAGCTTATCTCAAGCAAGCCCCACTCCACTCAGCTGAGGCTGAGGCTGGTGCTTTTATCATTTCCATTTCAGAGATAGGAAACTCAGCCACAGGGGGAAATATGACCCCAGATCTCTTGCTCCAGAAGCTGCATTCTTAAATACCAGGTTACTTCCCTCCCTTCCCCCAAGGAAGGGGTAGAACCAGGAATTAAACATAAAGTCTCTCAGGAAAATGTATGGTATTTAAAGGGATTTAAAATTTCACCTCTACAAGTTCTGTTAACTTTTTTCTCTCTGTAGTTACTGTCTGATTAAAGATCATCAAAGAATCCCTTGTAAAATATACTCTATGATGGAGCAAAACAGGATAGGGCTATGAAGGCATACCTTCCCTGAAATTGTCTGTTAAAAAATAATTAGCTTGGGTTTTAATATTATGATCAGAAGAAGAAAATGCTGCTGCTTTTGTCACTGATGGATGGGATGAAATATTTTGAATTCAGATAATTTATTTCTTTTTTCCATTTGAACTGCCTTCTAAGACAGTTCCAATTTGTGATCTAATCTCCAAACATTTATTTTTTATTTTTTGTCTCTAATTTGAAAGAGTCTGGCAAGATCTCTGCTTCAGACTGGTAGTTTGTATATTTAACCAGTCAATGCTAAATTACTTTCAATAAAATTAATTCAGGCTGTCTCTATCATTGAAGATAACAGTGTGAGATATATATATTCTTTGCCTGGTTCAGTTGCCTGAGATGTTTTAGATCAATTTGGGGAAAATAAATGGAATAAATAAAATCAACAGATGAAAATAAATACCTTCATTTTTAATTTGTTCTATATGTACGGTACTCCCATCCATTAGTTATTCTATTTAAATTACAATGAATTGGTAGAGGAAGATGGATATCTTTTAAGATTGGGTCTGATGTGTTGGTGAAACTGAAGTCCAGAAATGAAAAATATTGAGTTCTTATTCAGTTCTTTTATCGATTCACTGGACAGCATGTGGATAAATTATATCACATCTTATTTGTTTGTCCTGCTACTGATATAAGAAAGTGTCTTAGTGTGTTCAGGCTGCTATAACAGAACACCATAGACTGGGTGACCCATGAACAATAGAAATTTATGTCTCATAGTTTGGGAGCTTGGGAAGTCCAAAATCAAGGTGCCAGGAGATTTGATGTCCAGTGAGGGCTAACCTTCTGGTTCATAGATAAGTGTCTTTTTGCTAACTCCTCACATTGTGTAAGGGTCAAGGGAACTCTCTGGGTTTTTAGTTTTTATCTGTAAAATGGGATCTGTAGGACATGCCTTAGCTTGCTCCTCGTTAGACCTCAGAATGGAAACTTACTTCAGAAGAATTCAGAGTCAGCAGAGCATTTGTGTTCTGTTTTTGAAGAGAGGGAGAGCACAGGCAGGGGCAGAGGAATCAGGACTTGATACCAGGCTCATGACCTGAGCTGAAGGCAGACACTTAACTGACTGAGCCACCCAGGTTCCGCAGGGCATTTATGCTTGTTTGTTTGTGTGTTTGTTTGTTTTAAAACGATTGTATTTATTTGAGAGAGAGAGAGAGAGAGAGCACACAAGTGGGCAGAACGGGAGAGGGAGAACTAGGCTTCCCTACTGAGCAGGGAGCCCTATGTAGGGCTCCATCCCAGGACCCTGGGATCATGATCTGAGTTGAAGGTGGACACTTAACTGATTGAGCATCCTAGGCACCCAGAGCATTTATGTTCTTCTTTCTTTTCTTGTTTTCTTTTTTTTTAATACTGCAGTAGAACCTGAGAACATCCTGACTGCAGAGGCTGTATAGTCTCAGGAAGTGAGAAAAGGGGTAGCTTCTGATCCTCCCTATTTTTACTAATATCGTGTGATTGCTGTAATTTGTTCTGGGCTCTTAAAAAATGTTGAATGTGTCTTTAGTCTTCAAAAAAAAAACAGATTTTACATGGAGTTTATAAATTAGATACAGATTAGAGCAAATCAGAGGACACCCCCCCCCCCACAAATCACTTACCATTTTGAGAAAAAAAAAAATCCGTTAAATTGAGTCAGCCAGATAATTGGTCCCTCAGTACAATCAATGTCTTTAAACACTGAATTAAAAATTGTTCCGGTCAAAACTAAATTTGCATGCAGACACTAAATATGTGGCACTTAGTTTTTCTTAATTCCTAAAAAAAACTAAATACTCTAAAAAAAATGGAACACTTCCCATTTCCTGCTCAGCTGTGTGGAAGTTTAATGGCTGGATTTCTAGAGAAATTATCTTATATAGACCAAGATTCTTTTCATTTGTTTGTTTTCTAATATCATATAAATTTCCAGTAATTTCTTGTGAAACTATGTTTGGATAAGAAACTTCCTTTCCAGGCTTGTTTAATCCGATAACAACCTAACTGTAGAACTGCGTTTTAGTGCTCGCTAAGTCAAAATTACCTTGGCAGCTGACTTATAATTTCATATTATTGGTGGCCCACAACTCACCCAGCATCTTCCTTGTTTTATGCTGACCAAAATGAATGAATTAAAGTCCTTTTCTTTTTCTCCTCCACATGTTGCCTCCATCACAGCTTCGTGAGTGTGTATGTGCATGTGCACATGTATTTAAAATAGGTTGTAATGGTTAATGTATGTGTCAACGTGGCTGAGCCACTATGCCCAATGTGAGTGAGGTCAAGCATTATTCCGGATGTCTCTGTGACGGTGTTTTTGGATGAGATTAACATTTAAATTGGTGGACTTTGAGTAAAGCATATTGCCCTCCATAATGTGAATGGGCCCATCCAATAAGTTGAAGGCCTAAATAGAACAAAACACTGACCTTCCACAAGAGGGAGGAATTCTGACAATACAAGGCCTTAGGACTCAAACAGCAAAATCAGCTCTTGACTGGAGTTCTGGTCTGATGACCTTCAGACGTGAACTGTGACAATGGTTCTTCTCTGGTTTCCAGCTGGCCAGTCCATCCTACAGATTTTATACTTGCCCGCCTCCATAATCACGTGAGCCAATTCCTTAAAATAAATCTTCTTCTCTGTATATACCCATTCTATTGATTCATTCTCTGGAGAATCCTGATCAATACATAGGCATTCTGAATGGAACTTTGTGGCAGCAAATGTATATTATCTTTGAAACCCTGAGATGTATTAATATACAATCTCAACTTTCTTACTGCAAACCCAAATGATTTATCTTCTTTCTTTTGTCCATCCAGTTGTGTTTTGATTGAAAAATCTATGTTTATATATTGGAAAAGGGTAACAGTTAAGTGGATAAATTATTTATCAACCTCAACTTTCTCACTGCAAATTCCTCTAGGGCATGGAATAGGAAATGGGGAATACCAAATAGCTGCCAGCGTCCTCTTGAAGAGGAGAGTGCTGGGTTAAAGTCTTCACATTGCAGCCTCTTAATGTTTGATTTTTCTGACATACTTGCTGCTGAAAAAGTGCTTAGGACTATTGTAAAACCACATAAGACCCACTATGGTCTTGGGGGATGCTTCTGTTTACCAAAAGAAATCCCTCAGAGAACAATTGACCTAGGTACATAGAGAGAAACTGACTTTGAGAAAGCAAAATTTCCATCTGTCTGTGATTTTGGCGGGCAATCTAAGTGACCGGTCATATCATCTCCTCAGTCCCCAACTAGAGTACTGAAATGGTATTTTATGGGCATATGGAAAACTATAGCATAAATATAGTTCACTTTTCTGTAGAGTCAATTTTTTCAGTTTTATTGAAAACCAGAATAAATATCCCTAGCCAGCAAGTTAAAAGTGTTGTTTCAAATTGAAATAAATATCAATATATTATGGACTAGAATGCAAAACTTGCAAAATTTTACAAAACTCCTAAGGGCTTTGCACTTACAGATGAATGTTTCCAATGGGTTCCCAGTCATCATCTGCTCCCAAATAGGAGTTAAGATGATATTCTCTACTGCCCTCAGCAATACACATTTGATGGAAAATTCTCAAAAGCACTATTTTAAAATAGGCTGCCTTTAGAAAGTGAAAAGTATTGAAGAAAAAGGAGAGAACCAACTCCATTTGAGAGTTCTCTCTTCCTTTAATTAAATAGTGAACTCTCTCAAAAAGGAAGCAATGGAAAGTAAACTATCAACAGTGAGTTTTAATGACATTATGTTTTTGTTTTTAATTTCCTTCTCCATAAAAGCCCCCTTTTTATAAATGTTATTTTAGTTCTCATTTTAAGAGCTATAATTTATTGAGGACTTTTAATTCTAGTTTTTCTGTAATTTATTGAGAACTTCTAATTCTACTTGGGTTTTCATATTTACTCCTTTCAACAGCTCTATGAGATGGACATATTAAATAATCTTTAACAGCTCCATGAGACAGAGGTATGAAATAATCTTGTGAGTGGCATGGATTTGCCTCCAGGTCTCCAAAGTTCATTGCCATGTTGACTTCCCCTATTTTTGCTCTCCTGGTTGAACCATCAAAGCACATTTACTGGGCAGTGGATACGTCAAGAGTGAAGGAATTCATATTCAGATAATACTCTGCTGTTGTTTTCAAAGCAGTCCATGTTTCATGAACCTGCAACAAAAGAAACTTCAAGTCATGATCTCTGAGTATGGAGAGTGTATGTTATATCAATTGTGTTTGGGTTATTGTACAGATAATCCTAAAAGATTAGGAAGTAGAGTGGAAGAGTAATACCAAATAAGGTTTGGTTAACATAGTTTTAGTGACCTGTATACTTGGTGCTTAAGTGTTTCCCAGTATTTTGGGGCCACTGTAGGAAGAACCAATGTGGCAGCGTCCTATTATATTTGTCAGTTGATCATAGCACTGGCCTATAATTATAGGCAGGAGTACACTTGAAAATTTCAGTATTCCATAAAGAAGACACAGTCTACCCGCTTATGTAATGTTTAATTTGCCAAATAAACAAATGTCTGGTTTTAATATCTCTAAATGATGCTTGTTGGAGAAAAACATGCATAAAACTAAATGTATTATTCAAGCTGGTGGTTTGCATCAGCAAATGCTAACCAGCAATGAGCCAATCCTGGTAGACCAGTTAAAACTCAACCATGCAGAGTAAGGACAGGACCCGCCCCAGAAAAACAAAGACAGTCATTTTTTTTTAAATGACTTTATACAACCCTCTAATGTAATGATAGAACCTGATACATGAGTAAAGAGAAAAAGGGCAAACAAGTGAAGGGATTAATTAATTTGTTATATTTTATTTTCTGAACAGCTCAATTTTAAGAGGGAAATCATGAATAATTGAAATACTCAGACAATTCAGCAATTTCATTTGGCCTGGAGTTTCAGTGTTTTCTTTCATCAAAAAAGTAAACATGGAATAAAACTGGCTAAGGTATATTTCTTCTTTATTTCTCTTGAAGTGAGACTTCCAAATGAATAGAAAACTGTACAAAGGCAAGCAAATGAAGGAATGACATTAAGGGTTTGCATAATTATCACAGTGGAAAATAAGCTGTTGAATAACTGAAAGGGAACTAAAATGTGACTGTGATTCTTTCATCCACCTACACAAACGTGCAGTAATCTACTGAGATTAGACCGAGTAACAGTCATTTTGATAGTTCTTGAGAATAATGACCTTGATGGATAAGTTGTGCACCTTACTTCTGTAGCCGAGGTAAGGGAGGCTGGGTGCACAAGGCAAGTTAATCCCAGGGTGATAGTTACAGAGCTATTCACACGTGAATGGCATGCAAAGGAGAGAAAAGAAAGAAGGGCAAATGTCGCCCAGGAAAGAAGGGTAAGGCTTCAGAAAGGAGGGAAGCATTTGATTTTAGTCTTGGAGGAAGACGTGATGTTTACTGCACAAAAGTCACTTTATGGTGAGGAAAGGTCAAGTATAGCTCAGAGTGGCTAGAGAGAAAAAAAAATCATAGGTTGGGCTGGTGGTGTGCTGATGCCTGCTGTGGCAGTGCCTACTTAGCAAGATAGAGATGGTGCGTTGTTTCTAATGCAAATACCTGATCAGCCAGCGTGTTTCCCCACATATTTGGATTGTGATCTGGGTCCCAGTAATTCTGCAAATATATATGTCTTTTGAGATGTAGGAACTGGTTTGCTGGGTCCTCCGACAAAAATGGTGCTCCCAACGCTCCTGTAATTCAGAGTCCAAGAGCACAGCATCTTTTAGGGCAGTAGTTTACATCTCAATGTTTATCTTTTTAAAGAGACACAGCTGTGGCCTTTGGGAGGTTGGGTGCCTGAGGAGCGAGCCCTGAGAAAGCTATACACGGAGAAAGGTGACTGCTTCTCAGCCTTCTTCTATCACTGTGCTATCATCACCCTACACGTCCTCAAAATAGTGCAGCATCAAAGCTAGTGCTGTGTGCTAGATGGGAAAAAATTTTTAGAGCCTTCTGTACCTGCATGGGAGCCCACACACCTGGATTCAAATTCTAGCTCTATCACTTTTTTTTTTGGACAGGTTGCTTAATTTCTCCTAGCTGTAATTTTCTTGCATGTAAAAAAAATCATACTAATAACACAGTAACACAATAATATAGGATTACCATAAAGGACTGGCTCTATTAACGGTTGAAAACCATTTGGCTCAAACCAGGCAGTCAACAATCTTAGTCTTCCTTTCCGAGCCTTCCAAAAGAGAAACATATCTTTCAGTTTGAAGTAGACTGCTTCCAAATCTGGCACCATGGCTTAAATTGTTAGTATTGATAGGTCTGTCATTGAATTGAAGAGGTTTGCATTTTGTATTCCTTCCCACTCCAGGATTAAGGAAGAAAAATGATTGTTTTTAAAACCTAGACATTTTTAGTATCTTGAAATTTTAAGTCTATATTGTATTTTCATTTCCAGATAAAACACAACCAATTCAGAGTTGTAATCTGAATCAATATCAAGGAAGAATACACTCCTGACCTATTTGTGGTAACAATACAATCTGTTCATTGCTTGTGATAAGCGTTTATTACAAATGTTATGTTCGGTACTCCAAGCTTCATCATTAATAAGACTCTATTGACCAGGGTTATAGTGAACTATAAGATACGAAACCTCCCCTCTGTAGGGGAAGAGTATGAGGGAGTCTAAGATTCAAAATAAAACAAGGCAACATAGGATTTGATTGTGCCAAGGGAGTTTAGGAGAAGGTGTCGTTATTGAGCTTTGGGGCTCTGGGGCACCAACAGACATTTTCATGGTCAGAAAAATTGCTGAACCTATTCCTTAAAGAAAAGATTAAATTTAGTGGGATAGGAGAAGGAGAAAGACTTTCGATTTTAAGCTGGAGGAATGGTGTGGCACTGGGAATCTGTAAAACAGATATCTGAAGACAATGGTTAGAGGTGGCTAAATTATTTGTGTGTGTGCGTGTGTGTGTGTGTGTGTGTATCAATGTCTATATATATATATATATATATATATATATATACACACATACACACAAATAATAATGAGAGTTGACATTTATTGAGCATTGTGCTAAAAAATACTTTACCTGAACTACCTTATTTAATACAACAAACCTAAGGAGCAGCACTGTCAATCATTTCATTTTGCAGACAAGGTAACTATATCACAGGAAAAGTTAAATACTATGTTCAAGGCCACAGAGCTAGTAGGAAGGGGAGATGGAATTCTCCCTTTAAAGCCACTGTGCGATATTATAACTAAGAGACGGGAAGGCTTGGAGCCAAAGAAAAGCAGCAGCAGCAGCAGTAATAGTAGTAGTAGTACTACTACTAAATAATAATAATAATATTAGTCTTATGCATTTATAGAAAAGAGACAATCATTACTTATACATTTCCCATGATATGCTTTTCCAAGCTTGACCTTGAGTACTAAGCAGGGCTCTAATTATTAGCTCTATTACTTTTAGTTTAATTTGTTACCCTGCTAAGCTCTAGTTTTAACTACCTACTTATTGAAAATGACAACGTCTATGGATGTTATTATATACATCAATCAGGCTGCCTCTAGGTACAAAACACTAGTGATGGAGGGTATAAAAATGACTTACACATATTCTCTATGAATAGGAAGTTACCAATTTTAGTTATTCATGGTTTAAAAAGAAAGGCAAAAGTCAACTTTCAGAAGATATTAGTAACAGATGATAGAAGCAATAGTGTCCTGCTTCTAGGTCATCTAATTCAATATAACTAAGCTAGCATGCCTGGGGAAGCCATCCTCTAAGATGTCCCCCAAAGACCACTGCCTTCTTGGTATCCATATCCTCTGTGGTCTTCTTTCATTCAGTAGGGCAGACCCCTGGAACTGTGGAAATGACAGTGTGTGCTTTCTGTGGCTAGCACAAAATAGGTGTTACAGCTCCTGCCTTGTGCCTTTCTTGGATCACTTGCTCTAATGGAAGACCACTACCATGTTGTGAGGACACTCAAGCAGCCCTGAAGAGAGACCTGCCTGTCAAGGAACTGAATCCTCCCACCAATAGTCATACAAACAAACCACCTGGGAACTGGATGCTTTCGTTCCAGTTAAGCCTTCAGATCACAACAGTCCTCACTGACGTCTATACTGTTATCTCATGAGAGAGCTTGAGTCACAATCTGTGACCTAAGCCACTCCCAAATTCCTAGAAACTGTAAAATAATAAGCATTGATTATTTTAAGTTGCTACGGTTTGGAGAGGTTGTTAGGTCGTAGTAGATTACTAATACAATGCATTATGAGTGCCTACTGATGTCAGGATAAACTGCTAATCACCAGACCTGAGCCACAGATGAAGCAAGTGAGTCCACAAATAGAAGAAGAAACTGGCTTCTAAGCTTACACAAATTTTGTGCCATGAGATCTCTACTTGCTCTGATAATCCTCTTTGCATAGAAAGAGAAACAAAAAAACAACCCTTGCCGCTAAGGAACTCACATGATATTCAGAGTTCATAAATAATTTATAAGGAAATATACTATGACCACACAGTTTGAAGGAGGAGTGATTAGTTCTGATATTGGCATGGAGGTAGCATGGAGAAATTGGTTTTGAGTTGAGCTTTCATGCTTATGGAATGTCTCCACAGTTAGGAAGAAGGGAGTGGAAGCAAAGAGCATGTGTTCTGGGCTGAAGAAGATTGGCGAGCCAAGGAACGGAGAAGCAAAGTAAGGCTCAGATTTGGTGACCCCGACTTTGCCAATGTGATGGCAGGGTAGAGCTGAGGTGTGCATGTGGTCAGAGAGAATGTTGGAGGATTATTACTGTCATATCAAGGAGGTTGGACTTTATTCTTCAAGTAATATTTCTGAACAAGAAAATGATAGGACCAGATTTACTTGCAATTTTTTTGTTTGATTATGATAAAATATGCATTATATAAAACCATTTTAACCATTTTTAATTGCATAGTTTAGTGGCATTAAGCACATTCACAGTGTTTTCCAATCATCATCACTATCTCAAGAACTTCTCCCTAAATGGAAACTCAGTACCCTTTAACAATTACCATCACTCTCTCCTCCAGCCCCTGGTCACCACCATTAGCTTTCTATCTCCATGAACTTGCTTATTGTAGGTACCTCATGTAAGAGGAATCATGTACTCTTTGTCCCTTTGTGTCTGATTTATTTTACTTAGTAGAGTATCTTCAAGGTTTGCATGTTGAAGCATATATAACCGTCTCATTCCTTTTGAAACTTGAATAATATTTTGTACCTATATGCCAACATTTTGTTTACCCATTCACAGATACTTTTGAAAACTCCTTTGTCAGTGGTGTTAGAAAGCAGATGGTAAAAGGAAGACAGTGAAAGACACAGGTTGGAGCCTCTCATAATGGTCTGGTGGAGAGATAAGTAGGGCCTGAATCAGGTGAGTGACACCAGGGATGGGAAGACAGGGCTGACTGGAACAGAATAGAGAACTCATCCATTGGGCTCGCTGGTGCAGAACCACCAGCATTGAAGTTCTGGTTTTAACTGAGATGTGTTCATAGTTGACTTCTCAGATTTCTCTTCATTCTCTTTGAAGAAAAGGTGTCAATTACAGTGTGACATGTGTAGTGTGTTCATATTCTGTTAAAAAAAAAGGAGGGGGTGGCTTCAAAACGAAGAGAGCATTTAGGCAAAGAAGATCCAATATCAATATCTAATAAATATTTCTTTTTTTAAGATTTATTTATTTGGGGATCCCTAGGTGGTGCAGCGGTTTGGCGCCTGCCTTTGGCTCAGGGCGTGATCCTGGAGACCCGGGATCGAATCCCATATCGGGCTCCCGGTGCATGGAGCCTGCTTCTCCCTCTGCCTATGTCTCTGCCTCTCTCTCTTTCTTTCTCTGTGACTATCATAAATAAATAAAAATAAAATAAAGATTTATTTATTTATTTGCTTGAGAGAGAAAGAGAAAGTGTGAAGGAGCAGGGGGAGGTGCAGAGGGAGAGGGAGAGAGACACCCAAGCAGACTCCCTGCTGAGCGCAGAGTGAGAAGAGAGGCTCAATCTCATGACCTGGAGATCATGACCTGAGCTGAAATCGAGTTGGCCACTTAACTGACTGAGCCATCCGGGCGCCCCTCTAATAAATGTTTCTACATAAATTATGCTTACAATATAATTTATAGCAAGATAAAGTACCACTAAAGTAACCACTTAAGGTAGTGTTACTTGGAATCATCCAAAAGTAAAACCAATATTCTGTACCGTGGTTGTCCCGGTGCATTGTATAATCGCTAAGGAAAAAAAAATGCTATGACATAAATCTTGACAGAGAAGCATGCTTTAAAATATAAGTCATAGCTATTTTCAGCTCTAATAATTCTGTCTTTTGTAAATCTTCTCTCTTTTTGCTCATGGAAAATGTTTCACTGATATAATCTCCCCCTCCCCACCCCCCTGCCCATGAACAAATCGCCTTCCTCAGCATTATGCGCCCAACAGGCATCCAATAAATATTAATTGATGGTGATAATAGCATCACCCACAAGAGAGACAGAAAGTAGTATTTATTGTCCTACTTTACAAATGAGAAAATTGACACACGGAGATGAAATGACTCACTCAAGGTCACCTAGTAAGTCATTGGCAGGGCTGGAAATAAAATGCAAGTAATACAGAAGGGCACGCTATTATCCTCTCTGCTTGAGAAACTTCTCCTCCCTTTTTCATCCTGTCTGACAAACCTTGAA